TGCGGGGGGGTGGGGGTGCAGCGGCTCTTTTCTCCCCCACCCCCCCTCATCTGGGTGACCTTCCTCCAGCCGAGGACTGTGGTCGAGGCCACGGGCCAGCCCTTGCCCCCTCTGCAGACCTGTGGCTGCCCAGGTCATTGGCTTGCCCCAGTGTTGGGGCAGCGTGGCAGCAGGAGCAAGGGTGGGTGGGTGAAGCTGGGTCCGGGGTTCGTGTGCCACCCCCTCCCCTCCTGGCCTCCTCCCCTCCCCACAGCAGGAGCAGCAGCGGGAAAGGTTGGCGGAGGGGGGCTATTTTGGGAGCGTTTCCTTAGCAACAGCTGCCACAGGCCGTCTGTGGCGGTTTTTCTATAGGTGCTAAAATATTCCACCCTGGTGACTACTGAGTGCTGGGGGGTGGGCGAGGGTGGGAGTGGAGGGCGGGAGAGACCCCTTCGGTCCTCCATACCCAGGGCACAGCCTGCTGGGCTGGGTCTTGGCCCGCTGGACCCCGGTGGCCCCTTTCCCCACCGTGGGTCCTCACCCCCTCGGGGCTGCTGGGACTTTAGAGTTCTGAGGCAGGCCAGCTGTGTCCTGGTCTGATTACCAAGCTAAGCGGCTGGGCTGCCTCAGTTTGTCCCATCTGTAGAATGGGCTGGCCAGATGTTAAGGAACTCTCTAAGCCCCAAACCCCTGGGCTCTGTGACTCCGGCATTTTGAAACGGCCCTTCCCGTCCACCTCCCCCATTCTAGGTGTCCAACCTGCTTGGCCCAAGCCCCCTCACCTCCAGTCCTCCCTGCCCTCTGCACAGCCTCTCAAGGCCCCCGTGGGACCAGGGAGACCCGACTGGGCTCCCAGAGCGAAACAACCAGTGAGCGCCCTGCTGGCCTGGAACGACCTTTCCAGAAACTGGGAATCGGTTCCACTTCTGGCTCAGACACTTGCTTACTCTCTGAGTGAGCCTGGGCACTTCCCTCTCTCCGTGTCTTAGTTCGGTTTTCTCACCTGTGCACTAGGGACGCTCGTAGACTCTCCCTCATAAAGATATTGCGAGGATCAAATCTGAGAGTGGGAAACGGGCAGGGGGGCTTTGGCAAAACGTCCAGGCGGACGAAGGTTTCGCCATCATTACCCGTCCAACTTCAGAGCAAGTCTCGCCCCTTCCAGAGAGCTGTCCCTGGCCGCCCGGGGCCCCGCCGCTCACAACAAGATGACCCGTGCCTCAGTTTCCCCGTTGGTAACAAGCGCCTGCACCATAGAGGTCTTGCAAGGATTAAATGGGACACTCGAGGGGGCCCTTTCTACTCACTCCTTCTGGGACGTGCTTCTGTGCTAGATGAAGTCAAAGCCTCCTCGCCCTCCGGGGACCCAGTCCAGACTGTCCCACCACAGGTGAGGCTCCTGAGGTCCAGAGATGACAAGCCACGTGCCGGGGGTCCCCCAGGTTCTGACATCTAAGCCTCTCTCCCCTGCCCCTTCAGGCCTCCACGCTCCTGTCTCACATCCCTCCCCCCGCCCCCTCCCCACCCCTGCCCTTCCCAAATATAGCGAATTCTCCCTCTAATCTCAACAGTGGGGGTGTTGTCCTACGATATGATAGGGTATCATACATATGAGGAAACTGAGGCACAGAGTGGAGAGGAGAGCCGCCCAGAGGCGCTCAAGGCTTGGGTGTGGGGAGGGGACTCTTTTTCCTGGGGTCCCTGAACCTCTCTCTGACTGGATGGAGCTGCCCTGTCTGCCTCACCGTACCTCCTCTCAGTCCACGGTCAGCCTCCACCAGACCCTCCTTACAGGAGATGAGCCAGAGGGGTCCCAGAACGAGCAAGGTGGCCATGACCAAACGTTTCCTCTCAACCCTATGGTGTCACAGCCACCAGGCCTCCCTCTCCTGTCTCCCAAACGTCACTGTCCCCGAGCCTCTACCTTTTCCTTAAACTTGTGCCCAGTGACCTAGCATCAGGACTGATCCCACAGGAACAGAGGCTCTGGGTCTACAGACACCTCTGTCCCCCCCCCCTTCTTGCTCCTCTCTTCTTCCCTGGCACCCCGCATTCCCAGGGCAGCCACCAGGCCAGGCCTCTGGCTGGGTGAAGGGACCACACAGGTCACCTGCCTCCCCTGAAATCCTTCCAGTTTCCCTGGAAAGGTGTGACAGTGACCAGGCACTTCTCTGCCACCGACCCAGGATTCCGATTGCCTGAGTTCCCCCAGCGGTTCACACGAAAGACTCACACGAACCCCAGTCCTGGTTGCCTGCCGGTGAGGCCACCGCAGAGTCATGAGGGAGGGGGCATGGAGTGCTCCCTGGGGCTCTGCACAGTGTTGAAGGGAGGATTGAGAAAGGGCCGGTCGCGTTTATTGAACACCTACTATGAGCCGTGCGAGATGGTCACGTTTATTGAACACCTGCTATGAGCTGTGCATTTCTTGTGCATCTACCTCCCTTAATCTGCCCCTGTGAGGGGGCGGGACTGTTAGGGACCCCGTGTTACAAACAGGTTAAATAAAAAATCGGGGCACCAGGGCTGGATGAATGAATGAGTGGGTAATGAACGACTTCTGCTTCGGGCGTCAGGACGCCCTCCCAGGGGAAGTGGCCGGGAGACTGGGCTCGGAGGGCCCCAGGAATTCTCTGGGCAGAGGAGGAGGCAGGGCACTTCAGGCAGGAAAAACAGCACGGGCAAAGGCAGAGAGGTGCGGAAGCATCTGGTATGTTCTGGAATCTGTGGGAATCAGGGCGTATGTGTGGGTATATAGGGTGCTGGGTAAGGTGGGGCCTGACTGTACATCATGCTGAGGAGTTGGGACTGGATCCCGACTGGAGGTGGGGACGAGGCACGGGGAAGGGAGGCTGTCATGGTGGTTAGTGTGCGGGACACATGCTCCGGGATCAGCTTGGAGGAGAAGCTGGAGGAAATTTCACCTTCAATAAATTCTCAATCCGGCTTTGGGGTGCCTCAGTCTGTCCGCCTCTTAACTGAGACTAGCCACAGATGGCCAGGCTCTCGGGGAAGTTCTTCTGGCTGTCTAACTATAGGTATTCTCTCCTCCCACCACCGGTGGAGGAGCACTTCCCCTCCTCAGAGGGTCGGGGTGGCCAGGGGCGGTGAGGGGCCGTGGGGG